TTTCTCTTAATATAGCTCTTTGTATGATCTTTTATGGCCACATAATGCAGACTGGAGGCTTTCAGCTCCCTCGCAGCCACTCTATTTGAGTGTCATGTTTTGGAAAGAGAAAACCTTTCTTGATTTGTTAAGGCCAGTGCACACATTCCCAGGTAGTGCTTTTTGCGGTGTTAAATCCCTCCCTGTTATTTTTATTGATTGATTTGTTTTATATTCTCAAACTGTGGTCAGGTGAGTGTATCCTCGTGGTGTTCACTCCCTACCCTCCGTGATTGTGGATACTCCGTCAAGTTTTTTGCCTTTTCAAAACAGGAATGTTACTCGGAGTGGGCAGAGAGCCAGCAGAAAGACAGACCTTACAGGAAATCCAGAGGGCAGGAATTGAACGTATGGGGTTTCCTCCTCTGGGCTTCCCCCTGCGTAATAAAACCCCCAGACTCCCCAAAACACTCGAATTCTGAGATCAGGCAGATACAGAAATCAGATTCATGAGGAAATGAAGGCGATTGCTGTACTGGTGACTGCACCACGCAGCGGCGTAAAGAGTGTTGAATCAAATTGGGAGCAATAGCAGTTATGAAGGATTAATAAAAAATCTAGTTTTCTTTCATGGGAGGCTGACACTTTGTCTCTGGTTCACTAGTTTGGGCTCCTGGGTAGCATTTTTGCCTCTCATCAGCTGGGATGGTCCCAGCCGGAGCAGGGTGAGGAGCTCTCGCCATGCCAGGAGTTGAGGTTGGGTTTTTCCTGTCAAGCCCTTTCAAACCAGCGCTGTGCAAACACCATCGCTTCCCGCAGTGCTTCAGAGTACATTAATTTGCACTCCTAGGGAAAGGGGAAAAGCAAAACCAGGGTTTCCCAGCAGACTCTTTCCAAAGCAGCTTGTTCTCCCTGCCCTTGTTGGAGCAAACGGGTTGGGGTGAACGTGTCTCCTCATAGCAAAGTCTTTGTTCTCAGGGATGCTTCGTTTGCGGCCGGCGAAGGCCAAGGTGCCGCGGGATTTCCCGGGATGGCTGGAGCTTGTGCTACCTTGGAACAAAGGGAACGGGGAGCTCTCCCGCACGGCGCCCGGGAGGCCGCGCGGGCAGCGAGGCGGTGAGCGCCGCTCCGCTCCGCAGCAGCTGCCGGCGGTGCCCGCTTGAATATCACTTAATTTGAAGAGGGCCGGTGGGAGAGCTGCTCTTAATGGGCTATGGCAAGAGCGCGTTTGTGAGGAGAGAGGAGCATCTGAAGCCAGGTCAGGAAGGGCGTTTGGGGGAAATTGGGTCGTGGATGTGATGGGAAAGGCAGGTATTCCGCGCTCGTGTTGTGTGACGCTCCGGTTGTCCCTCTGGGCTTCCACACATTCCCAGAATGCTGGTTTTAAAGGCCGTTCCGTGGATTCTAATGATTGCAAGTACTTCCTTCCCCCCACATCCTCCCCAAAAGTGCACCTGAGGACCTGCATGTTGGACCAAACAACCTCACATCCCACATTGGCAATAGGAGAGCAGTTCTGTCACCCGCTCGCGAGAGTCCGAAGGCTCCGTCCGCTCCTCAGCAGGAGGGAGGAGGAGCCCCCCGCCACCTAAATCAAAGAGCAAAGTAACAAAGCGAGTGGCTTGTTTATCATGAAGTCGTTGCTCATTTAAGGTAATTTTCTGCATGAGTGGTGCCTTTCTACTCTTCTGATGTGAGTAGTGTATTAGTATGCAGGCTTGGGTAGCTGAATGGTAGACCCTGGAGGCATCACTCCATTATTCAGAGCTCTGGGGAGGTCTGATCTGAAATGTCT